CAAGTGATAGTAATTGTACGGTGTGTAAGAGTGAATGTTCAATAAAGATTCACTAAATCCGAGACCCACGTAAAGTTATTTGTCGCATGACATACCCAACACATGGCAATATTGTTATTAACAAAGATACCATGTAGGTAATGTTATTCTCTTGCAGTGATTCTCACACTGTGGTTTGAGGAATACTGGGGTTGTGTGGGTGTTCCGAAGGGGTTCCACAAATGAGGTCCTCTACTGTTTCATTTCTTTATGAATACTAACAAAGAGCAGTTTCATACTAAAATTATACTCCAGATTGCTTCAAATTACAAACTTATAGCTGATTCTATGCTTACATATCTGTGGGATGTCATTTTATGAAGAGACAACCAATTGTTGAACTGTTCAATAATATTTATTACAGTTGCACAGTATACACGGATGAACTTGAGTTTGAAGAACTGAAGAATAATAGTAACAATAGCGAACTCCTTGAACACTGAACTAGAATTGTAGCACTGTAGAAATCTAGAACTAGAACTGTAAACTTCCAAGTCCAAGTCATATTGCGACTGACGGTCCGTCAGTCTGTCTGTCTTGGTGTCAAGCCCCGGCTGGGGCTCATGACCAGATATTTGTTACTGTTTGGCATTTACGGTCTTGTTTTTGTGGGGCGCCCTCTCTGACGAGAGGACGGGTCTGTCTTTTTTACGTGCTACTAGCTCCTGCCAGCGCAGTCTTTCTCAGGTCCGAGTCCCTTGGAACTCGCGACCGTATTTTACTGTCTCATATTTGAGACTTCCTTTTTCATCGCCTCCTACGACTCGCAGGGTCACAGTGGAGGTATTCGACCCCGCCTCCACACGGGTGTATACTCTCCGTTGCTAAGTAATGATACTTGCGTTGTCACATGTGCTTGAATGTGGGCAGTTGTCACATATCTATTTAAGCTGCAGTTATAATAAAAAACCATGGAAAATAATAATGTAATTCTTCCCCAATGATCTGTATTTTAGAGAAAACAGCCATGAACTTGAAAAGGTTTTCACTTATAAATGATTCCTGGACAGAAGAGAAAGTACGTAGGGAAGTAAAAAATTATCCGCACTCTTGTTTTTCCATTCCATATATACAAAAGCAGGGGTTGAACAAGTACTTCATTTTTTTACACAGTCTCCTCTCTTTTCGATGCACTTGGTCCAGCGGTCCAAAAGCTTGCGTATTCCCTCCACGAAGAAGGTTTTCGGTTGGTCGCGCAACGATTTATGCACCGCTTCCCCCACTTCTTTGTCCGTAGAAAATGGAAAACCTCGTAAAACATCTTTGAGCGGTCCAAAGAGATGATAGTCGGAAAGGGCGAGATCTGGGCTGTAGGCAGGGTGTTCCAGCACCTCGAAACACAAATGGTTAATGGTTTCAACGGTCTGGCTGTCCTTGTGTGAGTGTTCATTGTCATGCAACAACAACACTTTCTTCGACAATAGGCCTCGGCGTTTGGTGCGAATTGCTGGCTTCAGATTGTTGGCCAACAAATCACTGTATCTTGCACTGTTGATTGCACACCCCTTTTCCAGGTAGTCTTGCAGTATAGGCCTTTTTAAGTCCCAAGAAAACGGTTAGCATCACCTTTCCCACGAAAGATTGAGTCTTGAATTTCATCTTCGTTTGCGATCCTGGGTGTTTCCATGCCATACTCTGGCTTTTGGATTCTGGCTCATAGTGATGAACCCACATATGAATTTCAGCCCCTGACACACCTAATCAGAGAAATCGGATCACTATTCTTTGTTAATCATTGGTGCACACTTCTAGCAGAGCGGCCATGTTTACACTGTCACAGCATCAAGGAAAATGATGCAATCAAGGTAAAACTTCGATCACGTGACCACAGTAGTACCAACTCTAACAATGCATGAGTAGGAGGCAGTGTGACAAACCTAAAGATGTGTTATGGAGAAAGTGTGGATAATTTCTGACTTACCCTCATATCTGAAATATTGACACACTTATAAATCTATGCTGACCTTCATGATTCCTTGACATGAAAATTGGGAACATATTATGTGTCACTGTTTATAGACTTCATTGTATTGTGGATGGAAAGTACAGAAAGTGGCCTCCTTTGAACATTTCAATACTGAACCACTAATTTGTACTAGCCTCACTTTACAGTGATCAGCATCAGTATTTTGGGGTTATCATTATCTAAGGACTATTGTGCATAAACACAAATGTCAACACTGCTCGTTATTCTAATGCCCATTTCTCAATTTACTATTATAGGCTGAATGTGAACGATGTTTCAAACCTGAACTTTGATTTGCATCGTTCAAATGGCAATTGGACTGCCCTACTGGATGAGCTTCAGCACCATCATATACATGTGATACCTCACTTGCTCATGGACAACAACAGAAGAAATGTTGCAGATTTCACACAACCATTTGCCACATTAGGGTATTTAATATTTATCACTAGTACATTAAAATAGTTGTGAAGGGAGAACTCCTTCTTAGACAGAATGGGTATGAGGATTATCTTGCAGTTGACAGTGATGATGAAACCTTTAAACTCGTAGTACATTTCAGTCTGTGCTATTTCTCCTTTGCGGAAATCTTCTGTTCCGTTTGTGCCTTGTGTTTCAACACATCCTAACTGACTGCAACTACTTTATTACCTTCTTTAAGTAATTCCTTATCTGTCCATCTCAATTTCATAATGAGAAGCTTAATAAGTTTTACTGTTCACAAAATACAGGGTGGGGCACAGAAACTTCCTTTTTTTGAAGGTGAATAAAAGAAAAATTATTGTTGATAGACAAAATTTATGTTTAGCTAATGAAAGAACATACTTTAAAGGTTTAAATCATGTAGTTTTAAACAAAATATCTTGAAGGTGGTGGCCACTGTTCTCTATGCACTGATGCAACCGTTTTCTGAAGTTCCCCTCTGCACGTTCCAACATGGACACCGGAATTTGGGCTACTTTCTGCCGAATAACATTCTTCAGCTGAAGCAGGTTTGTGGGGCGATGTTTAAAAACCTCTGCCTTGAGGTATCCCCATAAAAAAATCACAGGGCGTTAGATCAGGTGAGTGCGCTGCCCACGGGATGTCACCTCGAAGCGAGATGGGCCGTCTGGGGAACTTTGGCCTCAAAACTGTCATTGAAGCTCGGGATGTGTGGGCCGTGGCACCATCCTGTTGGAACTGGATATTTCCTAGATGAATTTCTTCAAGAGCCGGTTCGAAAAAGTTTTGAATCATGTCCACATACCGCTGTGAATTGACAGTAACTGCATGATTGTCTTCTTAAAAAAAATAAGGGCCAATAACTCCAACTCTCGACAACGCACACCATACTGTCACCTTATTACTGCAAAGTGGCCTCTCATGGAGCTCTCTGGGATTGTTACCACTCCAATAGTGCATGTTCTGCTTCTTGACCTATCTGGATGGGTGAAAATGTGCCTCTTCACTAAAGAAAACAAGTACGAGGGGGTAAAGTTTCCAATAAAGTTTCGCATGCTGTTATTCAGTTCTGGAAATCATGTGGTGACAGTTCTTGCACAATAACCATCTTATAGGAATGGAAATGAAGATGTTCATGAAGAATTCTGCACATTGAGCGATTGGATATGTCTAGGGCGACTGCTTGTTTACGAGCAGAGTGTCTTGGAGATCTCAAAATCGACTGTTGAACTGCCTCCAAATTTTCTGGTGTCATAATGGTCCGTTGTCGTCCTGATGATTTTTTCACCACACTCTCGGTTGTCCTAAAGTTCTCTACTCACAAACCAATCAATTTCCGGTCAAGAACCGGGACCTCTGGGCTTAATTCCGAAGTGAGTATGGAACGCACGCTGCTCCGCCACTTAGGAATGGTTGTTCGAAAAATAGACTTTGACAGCAAACGCATGCTGCTCACTCATCCACCTCATGTTTCCTACTGAGAGGTATTAGACAGAAACTTCTGTGACTGCTGCGTTCAGCGAGCCTATCCCCACTTTTCTGCAACCTCCCCTCCCTTCACAATGCGTCTTCACAAAAAGAAAGTTTCTGTGCCCCACCCTGTATTATTAGGGAAATCAAATCAAAGAGGTCTAGATGGGAAGGATTCGCTGAATGACTTCTTGTGTGCCACAAGTAGGTGGCATCTTATTTCTCAATCCTTTACTCCATCGACAAAAGCATGGATGGCTTCTCTATTGATATTTTGTTTGGGTAAGTCAATGTGAGCATGATGAACCAGGTGGTCTATGACAGTGGAAACTGATGCAGGAATTCCCCGATGTGCTGGATCCTTCTTTTCAGCTGCACATGGAATGCCTCCTCTGGGTGCCGGCCACCATGGCATTTCTCAAGCACTGCACTAACCTCAAAATTCTGGCTTTGAGTCCTCATGTCACAGTATGTCATTTTCTTTCTTTGTGAAATGTACGTAGTATATACAGATAGGAAGGAGGCACATTCTTTAATTTTGAAGCCTGTTTTTTATATTACAGAATTTGCAGCTTCATGTAATGCAGCTTGAAGATTACACAAATTAAACAGCTATACTACCAGTCCAACAAGATTTACAAAAAAGTACCTCATGGCAACATCACAATTCTTATTACTATGTAGATGTTTCCATTAACAATTGTTATTAATTTTTTGAGCATCCATAGGTTTTAAATTGTTATCAATTTTCTTGCCAGTTGCATGGCATGATTTATGGAAAATGCCTGTTTGATATTTCTCTCCAAAGCAATAAAAAGTTATAGTATAATGATTTCTCAACCGTGTCACTACTGAGTCTGGCATTCAAAACTGTCCTGCTGATATACAGCATAGTATAAGGAAAAGAAACTGTTTTCATCAAACATTGATGAATGCTTACAAAAAATGTTAGAGGCATGTTGATATTATATTCACGTGTTCGGGGTTCCTTGACTAGTAATAATGGGTTCTGGGTTCAATTTATTGGCCCTTAGATGGGTTACATGGAGATTGCACATAGATGTAATTGAAGCCAAGGCATTCAGAACATTTATAAGATTGTATTCCCTATTCAGAAGTTAGTGATTAGACACTAACATTAAGCTGACCCTCCACAAAACTCTCATTATATCTGTAATGACTTATGCTAGTCCCGCCTGGGAATTCATGGCAGATACCCATATAATGAAATTGCAGTGCCTACAAAACAAGGTTCTCTGCACCACTGGCAATTTTCCAAAGCACACACTGGTTCGCAATTTACGCATGGCTTTAAAAATTCCCTGTGTATATAATTATATCACAAAACTATGCAGGCAACAAGCAGAAGTCATACAAAATGACGATAATGAAAATGTTTGCAATATTGGACAAGGCAAAGACCAACATGGAAAGTATAAGAGGCTTAAACTTGGCAGCAGTGAAGCATGTGACCATTCAAGTGATTAGACTGTCGTTGTAGTGGAAGCTACTAGAAATAGGGCATAATCTGTTGTACTGAGCCCGAACCAACAAAGGCCCTGTATATATTTGATATACATTTATTAACATGCAAATTTTAAATATTCTTTACATTATGGCAAATGACTTACTACTGCAGACAGCGACTCTGACAAAAGACAGACTCGTCCTCTCGTTAGAGAGGGCGCCCTACAAAAACAAGACCGAAACTGCCAAACAATAATAAATACCTGATCATAACCCCCAGATTGGTCTCGACACCAAGACTGACTGACCGACCATCAGTCACAATGTGACTTTGACACACCGAAGTCTCTATGATTTTATTGAGCCACTATTCTAGCAGTCTCACCATTAAAGCATCTGAAGGAAAGTACGTATGTGCTACAAATGCTCCCATTTCATGCTGAATAAAATAAGCAACTGATATGTCATTATTAAATGATCTTATGTACAGAGTACATTCTACATATGTAACAAGAATCCCAGAGTTTTCTACACAAAGCTTGATCATCTCATTTTATACATAAAAATATCTTCTCCAGGGTTCAGCTGATGGTAAAGAGTAAAGCAGTATCACATTTTTCCTGGTTATGGCCCTTTACACCATTCTCTGTGGCGTTGTGGCAAGCAGTAATCACATTTGTTATCTCTATCTCTGCCATTCTCCACTTCAGTCTCTGGACAGTCAAGAAACTGTTTCCTCGCAGCAGGCAGCTTCAACATGACTTCTTTGGCAACTTCCTGTATATCTATGGCTTCTTCTGCTCCCAAGGTTATTACAATAACATCTTTTACATATGTAATTTATTAACTGTGACCTAGTCTTCTGTTTAATGCACAGTACAGTATGTTACATTACAGTTCAAAGCAAAGCAAGAGGAGAAGTAGGGGTAGGATTTCATCTTAATTATCAGAAGTTATGTAATTTCATTCATGACTTAATATATAAGCAAATCTGAAGTAACCAGAAACACCCTTTTGCAAAGATAAATATATTTTTAGTTCTGTAGAATTTTTCTAGAATAGTGTAGAATGAAAAGTAGTGACTGGAAACTGTAATGCTTACTGAGCTAGCTAATTGTGTATCAGTAAGTCTTATGTCTCACCACCCTATAAAGCTAACTCCTTAGTTCTTGAAACCAGTATTTTGAAAGTAAAAGTAATGACTGCAAACAGCATTGATAATTCAGAAATGATCCTGCCATCTCCACTACAAAGCTACTTCTACTGATGCATTCAGTACAACTCATTTTATTTTAACACCAGAAAGAAATTCTGTTTCCATTCTTCAGGTTCTGCACCTCGCAGTTTCCTGACTTCCATCAAAATAATGGTACTCTGGACTTCACTTCTGGCATATGTTTTGATTCAGTCCTATGGAGCTACTCTAGTGTCACATATAACTGCGGTAACCAGCTGGGAAGCCCCATTCAACAACCTTGAGGGCTTATTACAGTCCCAATATTCTTTGGCTGTAGTCAGTGGATCTAATATACATTCTGAACTTAAGGTGAGGAAATTATATGGGAAATCCCTTTGCTGAATACTGGGATTATGCTCCTGGAAATTCTGCAATGGCAGAACTATATTTAATCATGCTATTTTCCCTGATTTGATGGAAAGTGGAATTGTAACTTATACAAAAGTACATGTGGTCATTTGCTCCATTATACACTGACCTATATGTAAAATTGAACAATACTGTACAATACAATACAATGCAGGATTAGAGGTTCTCACAGCAGTAGCTATGAAGATCTCTGTCTTCTGGGCCATAATGGGGTGTAGTCTGTTGATAGTCAATCAACGTTTTGGAGGAACATGTCTCCATCTTGAGGCACAAAGAATAAGCCAAACAAGAAAGCAGGCTCTGATGCTCTGCTTGCCACCTGCTTCACAATGGTCACTTGCTTCGCTTATTCTTTAACCATGAAGATGGATGCGACATTTTCCTCCAGAACATCAGCTGACTTTCGATGGAACACAGAGTGTTATAAATCAGAGCACATAACTCTTTATTCCATAACATGTGCAAACACTATGGTGTAAAAACCTGAACTAAGCAATGAATTACTGTAAATCATATTTATCTATTCATAATAGTATGTTATTGTTATTTATGTAACTTTCAGCTAAGGAGAGATACAATGTGTCTAAAAGCCACTAAACGTTAATAATTCATCTGAATAATAGAAATGGTTGTTTCAAGTGTATATTAATATTTGATATAACCAACATACTACCATTTTTTTGTTTTATTTATACTAGTATAGTACTCAGAAACTTAGTCAGAAATATCCACTGGACACTATTGATATCCTCTATGAAATGAATAGGAGAAAAAATTAAACCTGCAAATCATAAAATGAGTAAAGACTGAGTGAAGTCTGTCTTGATGCAGAAATTAAAGGGAGATGTGTATGAAGCTGTTTGGAAGAATGCAGTTAAGATGGTGAACAGTGATCAACAAGCATTTCATGAGGTCTGCTACGGCCGCGTTGCATCCTTTGTGACGTCCGAGATGAACAGTGCTAACAATTACTGTAAGATGATATCTGTCAGTCATCTCTACTTCTCATCCTGGAGTAGTAGTGGGCTTGTCAAAGACTTCCCTTGCAAACACCTCATCGACATCACGTACGTTTTACTTCATTTTTATCAAGCTTCTTTGGATAGAAAGGAATAATTACTGGACTTTCAAAACAGACCTAGTTATGATATTATGCATGAACTTTTTCCTTTATAACTACTCTAAAACCAGATCTGCCAACAGACATGTTAACAGTGCCAGTCATATTTCTTTGTAATCCATGACATGATTATATAACATTAAAAGTGTTTGTGAGACTGTGGAAGTAACCAGAGACACCACTATATTGGTAACAAGTAAAATATACCTATATTTGCAATTGTGGATCTTCCAGTAGCCATATTTTGCAGTGTTGAGGTTTCGTACCAGCAAAAATTTTGAAGGAAAGCACTCGAAGGTAATTCGCTTACTGGGGGGTGGAGTCCAACTGGGTCCACTTGGCACGGCGGCCACTGATTGGCCTATTGTAGCCTGCCACGGGTGATTATGATGATGGAGAATTTGGTGGAATGAAGATTGGCAGGGGAAACCGAAGTACTTCGAGAAAACTCGCCCCAGTGCCACTTTGTCCACCACAGATACCACTTGACCAGACCAGGGATTGGACCCGGGCTGCCGTGGTGGGAAGCCAGCAACTAACTGCTTGAGCTATGGTGTGCCCCGCACTGGAAGGTATATTGGGCTGTGCCAAATGAATATCAAGTTCTGAAAGTGATCACAGGGTATTTGTTGAGATGTAACTTGCAAGTCAGGATTTGGTGAAGGTATTTTACACAGACTACCTCTACCATATTCTAACAGGTTAAGGGAATTTAGTTATGGAACAGATGCAGCATATTCTAATAAAAACGTATATAAACGAAAATAAAACCACAGATAATTTTTAATGAAGAAAATACTTATTTTAAAAATCTGACATCAGTAAGCAAACTTCTTTTGATATACTAATTAAATACTATTTTCGTTTCTATATTTTATTCCACCACTACAATACAAAGTATGGATACACCATATGTTCACCGTTTCCTACATACACAACATGATGCTAAACATAATACTGTGATGCATAGACCCATAGCTAGGTAATGCCTGTAATACATGCGGCCAACAACACAGGAGCGGTGTTTTCTGCCGTGGTCCGTGCCGAGTGGTTATAAAAGAAATGGAGGGTCATTTGATGTAGCTGAGCTGCAGGTGCCAGCCTGCCAAAATATGAGATTGGGAGCAAAGGAATTGAATTGAGGCACTGGGATTATTGGGTCCAAGTCAGTTCGGACCTGAAAGTCAGCCTCTGAAGGGAAGACTTAGTGTGTGCTGTTGTACAGTGATATCTTAAGCATGACGGATATAGTTCCTGTGTTAAAACTCATTGCCAGGAAACAGATAGTGAAAACACTGCAGAGGAATAGCCATTGTTGAAGAGCTGCTGAAAGCAGGCTGAGAGGATGTAGTAGGAAGTGATTTGTAGTGTGAAAATCAGCAACAGTGTTATGCTTATTGCTAGTTACCACTTGTACGTGGTCAACAAATCCAATTACCAATCGGAATTCCATCTGTAGTTACTAATAATACATGTGACAATATTACTATTTTTATATTTATTTTCTCTTGGTCAAAGAGTTTCTGCTAACAATCTTGATTTCAATATAGCAGACCAGTTAAATGAGAAGTACAGTCAACTCTCGATTATCCGGGGGCGGATTAACCGGTTTGCGGCTTAACCGGGGCTTTTTTTTTTTTAAGTTTATATGTTGTTTAATATTCATTCACTTTTGTTTCACATGGTGAGTTTAACACTATTTTCGCACTAGTGTGAACCGAGCTCTGCATTATTTCGTCCCGTTATGCGAACACAATGTTCTAGGGTGGGGGTGAAAGAATGCAAGAATTTTTGGAAAGTTTCAAGGACAAATACACCGCCCCAGGTTATTTAACGGTACCATCTCAGTGTGAGAGTGCATTGTGAAAGTAAGTATCAGTTTCTTAATATAGATCTTCAAGTGCGTTAGCAAAATGTCGGGGTTTAAAAGGAA